AATCAACTCAATTCAATTTAATATCAAAATAGACAGGTAATTCTAACCTAGCATGTTGCACAGAGTTCAGATAAGGCAGTTTGAGCAAGTAGGCAATTTAGTCATTTCAGCATGCTTTCCTAAGCTAACAGTAAGCTCAAAGTTCAAGTAGTGTAAACAGTGAAGAAAAATACGAAATTATAGATACTTAAATGAAAAAGCAGGATTTTCAACAATCAGCACAAGTACGCGCTCGTCATCTCACGTACAAGGCATTTCAAATATCATAGTACCAAATCCTAAGGGGAGTTCCCCCACACAAGGTTAGACAAGCCACTTACCTCGAACCATCTCAATCAAATCTATACCACGTTCTTGCCACGAGTATCCGACTCCAAGTGGCCCAAATCTATTCAAAGTAATTGCATAATGTAAATAACACTTCAAGTAACTAATTCAACTAATTAATTCTAAGCTAATACGCGAAATTAGGAAAATGACCAAAATGCCTCCCGGGCCCACGTCTCGGAATCGGGTAAAATTTACAAATTCGGGATCCTCACACTCTCACGAGTTCATTCATACCAATAGTACCAAAATCGGACCTCAAATGGTCCCTCAAATCACCATTTAAAGCTCTCCAATTAACCAAGCCCTAACCCCCAATTTACCACTGATTTTCCTTCAAATTTCATGCTTACAATGATAAAAATCACCATAATAACGAGCTTAAGGACCAAAGACCTTACCTCAATGAATCCCTCTGAAAATTTCCCTTCAAATTGTTCTCCAAAGCCTCTTCCCGTATGAAATATTGTGAAAAATGGTCCAAAATCGCGAAGGGTGAAATTTATAGTTTCTGCCCCAGCAAAACCGCACCTGCAGTTAAATAGTCGCACCTGCGATCAGAGGTGCGCACCTGCGAACTTCACTTAAAACACCAGGGCCATACCTGCGCAAGAAATCCCGCATTTGCGCAATCGCAGGTGCAACAAGGACCTCGCTTTTGCGATCCCAGCCTGCCCCTCTCTTTGCCGCATCTGCGGCTTCCCATTCGCTCCTGCTGGCCGAACCTGCGGTCCGAAAGCCGCAGGTGCGGTTATGACAGCAACAATAAAACTTCAAGCTGCCAATTTCAACTCAAAAACTCCTGTTAACCATCCGAAATCACCCCGAGGCCACCGGGACCTCAACCAAAAGCACGAGCAAGTCATAAACCACCGTCCAAACTTGTACTAATCATAAAATTACCTAAAACAACATCAAATTAACCATGGATTCAAGCCTAAAAACTCTAAAGACTTTCGAATTCCGCTTTTGATCAAAAAGTCTATCAAACCTCGTCCGAATGACCTGAAACTTTGCACACACATCCCAAATGACACAACGGACCTACTGCTACTTCCGGAACTCCATTCCGACCCTAATATCAAAATCTCACTACCAAACCGGAAACTTCAAAAATTCAACTTTCGGCATTTCAAGCCTAATTAAGCTACGGACCCCCTACACAATCCGAACATGCCCCTAAGCCCGAAATCACCCAACGGAGCTTACGAAACCGACGGAATTCCATTCCGAGGCCGTCTTCACACTGCTCCGACTACGGTCTGAATTCTAAAGCTTAAACTCTTATTTAGGGACTAAGTGTCCCAAAACACTCCGAAACTCAAAACGAAACCTCCCAGCAACTCAGGATAGTAGAAATAAACACGGGGAAAGCAGTTAAAAGGGGATCGGGCGTTAATTCTTAAAACGACTGGCCGGGTCGTTACATCCTCCCTCTCTTAAAATATTCGTTCAACCTAGAATGAGCATAAAGACATACCTGAAGTAGTGAAAAGATGAGGGTAACGGTTGCGCATATCCTGCTCGGTCTCCCAAGTGGCCTCCTCGATCGGCTGACCCCGCCACTGAACCTTCACTGATACAATGTTCTTTGACCTCAGCTTTCGAACCTGCCTGTCCAGTATTGCCACTGGCTCCTCAACATAAGATAGATCCTTGTCGAACTGGACTGAACTGAAATCCAACACGTGCGACGGATCGCCGTGGTACCTCCGGAGCATCGAAACATGAAATACCGGATGAACTCTTGCCAAGCTGGGAGGTAAGGAAAGCTCATAAGCAACCTCCCCAACACGCCGCAATATCTCAAAAGGGTTAAACCTCGGACTCAATTTTGCTTTCTTCCCAAATCTCATAACGTCCTTCATAGGCGAAACCCACAGCAAAACCCACTCTCCAACCATATAGGAAACATCATGAACCTTCCGGTCCACATAACTCTTCTTTCTGGACTGGGCTGTACAGAGTCTATCCTGAATCACCTTGACTTTCTCCAAAGCATCCTGTACTAAGTCTGTGCCCAATAATCTAGGCTCTCCCGGCTCGAACCAACCCATCGGGGACCTACACCGCCTATCATACAAGGCCTCATACGGTGCCATCTGAATGCTGGACTAATAGCTATTGTTGTAAGCAAACTCAGTCAGTGGCAAGAACTGATCCCAAGAACCTCCAAACTCCATCACACACGCACGGAGCATATCCTCAAGAATCTGAATGGTACCCTCGGACTGTCCGTCCGTCTGGGGTGAAATGTTGTGCTCAACTTTACCCGAGTGCCCAACTCATGCTGTACGGTCTTCAGAACTGTGATGTGAACTGAGAATCTCTATTTGAAATAATAGAAAATGGAATGCCATGTAGACGGACAATCTCCCGGATATAAATCTCCGCCAACCGCTCCGAAGAATAGGTGGTACACATAGGAATGAAATGCGTGGACGTGGTCAGCCGATCCACAATCACCCAAATGGCATCGAACTTCTTCAAAGTCCGTGGGAGCCCAACTACGAAGTCCATGGTGATCCGCTCCCACTTCCACTCCGGAATCTTTATCTACTGAAGCAATCCACCCGGTCTCTGCTGCTCATACTTTACCTGCTGACAATTGAGGCACCGAGCTTCAAACCCAACTATATCTTTGTTCGTCCGCCTCCACCAGTAGTGCTGTCTCAAATCTTGATACATCTTCACGGCACCCGGATGGATGGAATACCGCAAACTATGGGCCTTCTCTAGAATCAAGTCCCGAAGCCCATCAACATTGGGTACACAAACCCGACCATGCATCCTCAATACCCCGTTATCACCAATGGTCACATCTCTGGCATCACCCTGCAGAACCCGGTCGAACACGGAAGACCGAGAAACCATATAAGCAAGGACCTGACTAGGCTTCGAAAGATCCAATCTCACAAACTGACTCGCCAAGGCCTAAACATCCATCGCCATGGGCCTCTCTGCTGGTGGTCAATAAGCCAAACTCCCCAAACTCTCTGCCCAACGACTCAAAGCATCGGCCACCACATTGGCCTTGCCCGGGTGATACAAAATAGTGATATCATAGTCCTTCAGCAGCTCTAACCACCTCCTCTGACGCAAATTAAGGTCCTTCTTCTTGAATAGATGCTGCAAACTCTAGTGATCAGTATAAATCTCACAAGGCACACTGTACAAATAATGACACCAGATCTTCAAGGCGTGAACAATAGCAGCTAACTCAAGATCGTGGACAGGCTAATTCTTCTCATGAACCTTCAGCTGTTTGGACGTGTAGGCAATTACCCTACCGTCTTGCATCAATACCGCTCCAAGGCCAATCCTCGAGACAACAGAAAAGACACTATAAGACCCCGAACCGGTAGGAAATATCAAAACTGGGGCTGTAGTCAATGCTGCCTTGAGCTTCTGAAAGCTCTCCTCACACTCTTCCGTCCACTGGAACAGAGCACCCTTCTAGGTCAGTCTGATCATAGGTGTTGCAATGGATGAAAATCCCTCAATAAATCGACGGTAATAACCCGCCAAGCCAAGAAAACTATGGATCTCTGTAGCTGAGGATGGTCTGGGCCAACTCTGTACTGCTTTCACTTTCTTCGGATCCACCTTTATCCCTCACTAGATACCACGTGACCCAAGAATGCCACGGAATCCAACCAAAACTCACATTTCGNTAGTTGTATTGGCTTAGTGATGCTTTGGAGATTCTTCCCAAGCCCTTTACCGGGTTCATACCCGGACCATGCCAGTATGCTTTCTACTTTGCTACTCCACCATTTATCTTTCTCAATCGCATTGACATGCTCGATGCGATGATAAGTTTCTCCACCCAGCTTTCTTCTATTCTCGACAACCGGAACAGTTTGACTGGTGTAAATAGTATTACTTCCATCTCCGTGAATGACTACCTCCTGATGGTTCCATTCGAACTTCACGGCCTAGTGTAGCGTAGAAGCCACAGCTCCAGCGGCATGTATAGATTGTACGTAGCAGATATGTCTAATACTTGGAACTCAACATCGAACCAAGTCGGGCCCATCTGCAAACAAAGGTTAATTGCCCGAATTGTGGCCCTTTGATACCCATTGAATTTCTTCACATTCATACTCCCTGCTCGTATCTCATGGAAATCTTTTCCCAACCTTTTTAGAGTAGTCAATGGACAAATGTTGAGGCTTGAACCCCCATCTGTTAAGACTCTGGCGATGAATTTGTCCTCAAAATATACTGTGATGTGCAGTGCCCTGTTGTGACTTAATCCTTCAGGTGGTAGTTCATCCTCGTGAAAGGTGATCTTGTGGCTTTCCAGTACTTGCCCCACCATGTTGTCCATCTCTCCACTGGTGATGTTGTTAGGAACAAAAGCTTCATTCAACACCTTCATCAGGGCATTCCTATGCGCCTCAGAATTTTGTAGCAGCGACAGGATGGATATCTGCGCCGGAGTCTTGTTCATATGATCAACGACAGAGTATTCTCTTGCCTGTACTTTCCTCCAAAGATCATCTGGACCAGATTCAATAACGAGTTGTTTGGTAGCAGCTTCCTTGCTTGTTCCTCCTAAATTCTCGAGTGTATAGATCCTTCCAGTTCTGGTCATCCCCTGTGCAGCACCAGACTCTTCCATTTTTGCTTTTCCTTTTCCCCTAGCTTCGGCAACATAATCCCAGGGTATGGCGTTGGACTTGAAAGGTGGTGTGGGTGCCACCGTCACAGTGAAGGGTGTGGCTACTTCTACTTCAAGTGGAGTAGCTGTAGTTGCAGGTGCAGTTACTTCAATTTCAAATGGGACTGATGCGGCTACTTCAACGTCGACTGGTGGCTGTATCTGTACCACAATATGTGTGAGTGTGACTGCAGGTTTAGGGCCATCACCTTCCCGAATGAGCCCAATCGACCCTTTTGGATCCCATTCTTCATCGATTTCTATTACATTTACTCGTTCACCTCTATGATCTGGGAGGGGATTATTGCGGACATTTGGTGCGGCTTCCTTTGCTTGTATGACTTTGGTACCAATCAGGATTTGAATCTTCTCTTTCAGAGTGCGGCATTCATCAATAGTATGCCCTTTCATGCCAGAATGGTATGCACATATTTTGTTTGGGTAGACCTACTGGGAGGAGTTTTCCATGGCAACAGCAGGAATAGGGGTAACATATCCGGCAGCCTTCAATCTTTCATATAGTTGGTCAATGGGTTCAGCAATAGGGGTGTATTGTTTGGGCGGCCTGCGATCAAAATTGGGTCTGGGTTTTCGATAGTATTGGCGGGTTGGAGGTGAATGGTAATAGGCTGGCTGGGTGTTATAAGTGTGATAGGCGGTAACGGGTTGAGAATATCTGGGAGGTGAAGGTTGGTATGTGGGTGGAGGTGTTTTGTATGTGAGTGGAGATTTTGGACCTTGGGCCACCATCACTGTCCCTACTTCATTCTTCTTTTATATACCCCCTGACTGTAATGCTTTGTTCGTAGCCTGCAATGCCTCGAAATTGGTTACCATCCCACTCTTGATGCCTTCTTCAATCCTTTCCCCGAGTTTGATGATGTCGGAGAACTTGTGATTCCCGATGACCATTAGCCATTCATAGTATTGTGGATCCTAGGCCCTGACGAAGAATTTGTTCATCTGCTCTTCCTCTAGTGCCAGCCTAACCTTTGCAGCTTTTGACCTCCATCGAGTAGCATACTTGCGGAAAGTCTCCGTTGGTTTCTTTTTGAGATTCTGTATGTAGAAGACATCCGGTGCATTCTCTATGTTAAACCTGAATCGGTCCATGAAGTCCAACGCCATGCTTACCCAATTGACCCATTTTTTGAGATTTTGACTTATGTACCAAGGTAGGGCGTCTCCAGTGAGACTCCTCATAAACAGCTTCATGCAAATCCTTTCATCTTTCCCAACTCCCACGAGCTTGTCATAGTATGTTCTCAAATGTACCTTAGATTCACCCGTTCCGTCAAACATCTCGAACTTAGGAAATTTGTAACCCTCTGGCAGTTCTACGTCTGGCTGAATGCATAGGTCCTTAAAATTCAGACCCTCAATTCCTTAGCCTCCTTCAAAACCCTAGACTTGGCTTGTGAGCTTCTTAAGCTCCTCCGCCGTATTCATAATGAGCAGGTCCTTCTCGGCGAATTCTGGTATGTATGAGATTGGTTGAGTAGAGTGAGGTAAGGTTTCCATGTATATGGGATTGTTTTGGTAGGTGCCGGGGGTTGGAATGTTGTGGTGATCATTAGTTGAATTTTGCGGATCAAGGATAGGTTGTAGGGTATTCTGTGGAGTATGGTAAGTGGTTTGTGGGTATTGAGTAGGAAGATGTTGATGCTGAGGAGGAGTGGGTATTGGTGGAGGATTAGGATTTTCGGAGGTGTTGCGTATTGATGGGGTGCGGGAGGATTTTTCAGACGTTGGTTTGGTGTGTTTTGAGGAGGTGCTGGGTTTTAAGCATTTTGTTGGTTAACATTTAGGACGTTTAGGGTGAGAGAAAGGTTTGCCAAGTTGTGAACCTGCTCAAGTTCCCCTTGCAATTCTAGTATTTTCGGTTCCAATCGTAGGACCAAATCATTATGGGCTGGAGTACTTCGACCGTCTGAAGTTTCATTATTCTCAGCTTTTTCCTTACGGATACCACTCATATCATCCATCTTAGCTTTTCCCTTGCCTTTCGGATTACTTGGAGGAGGAGGAGGAGGGGGGCCTTTGGATCTGGTGTGATATGCTGACGATGCCAGTATGCGCAAACCAACCTTGGGGAATGGGAATAATCAAAATAAAGAGAAATGCAAAAAGGTAAACAAGTCAGTAAGCATTCCAAAAAGCATTTACAGTATTTAAACACGTATTACAGGTATGTAAATTTGCATCCTAACTTGGGGAACCTCGTTGTGCCCGAGGTAGGCCTAGCGACAAATAGATTTGGAGAGATTTAATGCCGATAAATGCCTCATTTCATTAATGTAATAAATAAGATGAACCTAAAAACGACAATAAATAAATGAGTTACTAATGGCATTTGCCTTATTACATTCCAAAACGTTTCAAAAAACAGCTAAATCTAATTTACTTGGTCTCGGAGGGACCTTCCCCATATTTGACTTTCTTGGCTCCGTCGATCAAATTCCCCAGGTCGTGCATGTCCAACAGCAGGTATGCCCTTGCTAGGTGTCCTCCCTCGTTGCCTTCTGCATTCCGACAGTCTGCGACCCTTTTCCTCATCTTCCCTTCCAGTTCCATTAGACCGTGCTCCAAATACTCCAGACTTCCTGTCGATCTTGTAGCTATTTCCTTCCACTCGTTAATTGACTCTATGTCTAACTTGTGTTGCTCCAAGTGCCTGGCTTCGGATTCAAGGACTCTCTTGCGCAGCCTCTTATACTTCACTTGTGCCTCAGCGACTTCATATATGAGCTTGTTTCCTTGACCAACCCCTGGCTCGACTCTTCCCACTATGTTATCTTCTAACCATGATGGGTAGAAATACACATGACCTGCGTGATATCGATCTGGCTCGATGGTATCCTTTTCCATGATAATCTTCGAGTGCCACATGTGTTGGGCCTCACATTTGAATGGAATGGCGTCACCCTGAAAATCGGCTCTGCAATGACTCATTTTGGAGACTCGTGTTATGACTTGTTTTCTACCACCTTGTCTCATTACCCTGATAGGAACATAGGGATGTATTCCCCTTAACCCATTCTACACCAAATGCAGAACATCCCTGGATCTGATGATGAATTCATCGGTAGGGAACCACTCGAACATCCACTGAACCTTGTCCTCGGTCAAATTGCTGAAAAACTCTGCCCATTTTGTATCATTCTATGGCTGTGCAAATTTGTCTAGGATAAAGCTCATTCTTTTAGGGTGGTGGAAAGCTATGTGATCGTTCCATGGTCTCTGTGGAAACTCATGGCGGTATTGACCCCTCTGAAGATATTGTAACAACCAAATTTGCAGTAGCAAGTTACAACCCTCAAAATGTTTGAACCCTTTCTTGCAACGATCCAGAGCTCGGTATATGTCTGCTACAATCATCGGAACAATAGTGTAGGTTTGTCCCTCAATTCCCTCCATTAAAGCTTTGGTTACCATGGCCAACCTGGTGTGAATTATGTCCCCTTGGCTTGGAAACACTATCATTCCTAGAAAGCAGACGATGATTACAAAAACCCTACGATGAGTCCATCCCAGGGAAGTGATGGAGAATTTGTCATGAAAGATACGGTAAGATTTGTTGTGTCCATATCGTTCATAGAGGAAGTCAAAGGGTATGTTGGACTTCTTCAGGCACTCCAAGTAATCATTCTTTCTCAGACCCATCATTTTTAGAAACCCCCCAGTAGTGCAATTTTCTGGTACTAGTAAACCGGGACTATCCCATGGTAATCCAGCGAATCCTCCTATTTCCTCCAAAAGATGAGTCATTTCAATATGGCCAAAACGGAATACAGCTCTTTCCCCGTCCCAGAACATAGTAGCAGCCTTGATCAGCATGTTGTTTGGTGGATGTCCAATAAGGAAGGTAAATTTCCAAGAACCCTTTTCATGTGGTTTTTGTTGCTTGGTGAAAGGTTTTCCCACCAATCCAGCAATAATGGTGGTATATTTCGAACCATGATGAACCTGAGGACTTCGTGCCTCATCTTTCTGCAAAATAAACAGAGTTAGACCCTTGCCCCCTCTAGATTCGACTACATACACATTAACGATTAGCATGTCGACATTTATCTCTCCAAATAATGCACATATCATGGTTGCGACTGTTGGGATTATGGAAATTCCGGTGGACTTTGGACAAGGCTTTCTTAGAGGGTCATTATGCGGACAGCATATTAACCCTGGCTAGGTTTGACCATGATGCATGTACAACTATTATCAGAGTAAGGTTTCTATAGAAGTCTAGACTTGTACCCTCAAGCGGACAACTTGAGAGGGAAAGGCACGGAACCGTCGACTGCAACGCTGATCGACTAGTTTTACCAAAAATAAGCCTTTCCGAATTTATAGGGTGATTTTAGGAAGGGCACGGACACTCATCAAGCGCCGCTATGGTATTAGTACACACGAGTGGAATATGATGTTGAGCATGGAGTTATGCAAAAGAAAATAACATGTTGCCAAGTATTTGCACGATGACTAATGATAAAATGTGGTATTTAATAATTGTAAAGACATTTAAGAAAGAAAAACAAGGAGACAAGTCAGTTTCCATAGTAAAAGTGATAAAACAGGGAAGAGAAATCATAAATGGATGAAGATAGGCAAATAAATTCACATAAGTTGGCAAGGGGAAGAGGTATGCAAGTACTAACACAATAATAAAGACATGCTTAAAGACTAATTCACAAACAAGTTTGTTATGGTAAGAGCCTAAAGATATCCACAGCAGAGTCGCCATGCTGTCGCGCCCCCTTTTTCTCGCGAAATCGAGTTTCGACATTTCTGGGACAACTCCTTTTTTAGGGTAGGGAATTGGAAGAGTCGCCACCTAACCGATTAAGGTGCGTTAGGGCACCTAGAGCAATTTTCTCATATAACCAGTTTACATCACCAGAGATCTGGTAAGGGCTCGAAATTACCTTGAGGGGAAGGTGTTAGGCACCCCTCGAGGACAACAACGGTGAGTCCCGGTCGAACTTAAATTAATCAAATTAGTCTAGAAAAGGAAGAAAACAATTTGGGACAAATACAATATTCAGTTTATCTTAAACGGGAGTGTAAGGGAGTGGTCGTAAGTTTTTTAGCCTATAGGATCATTCCACGCAATACTTTGTAACACCCTCAAATCGTGGTGTTACTCATAGCATTAGGCACAGGCTATCATCTCCTTACTACCCAATTACTATCTTTA